GGGGGGGGTGATGAGGAAGGCAGTAAATGAGGTATGAAAAGAGCGAGGCGGCGAGGAGCTCAGGGAGACGGGAAGGCTCTCGGGGGAAGCGGACGATGTCGTTAGCGATGCCGTTTGAACATCGCCCCCTGGTTTCGGCGTGCTGGGAGAGCATCCATAAACATGAGGGGAGAGACATCCAGACAAGAACGGCGTGTTCAGAAGATGGCTGCTGATTGGGTGGTTTGACCAGACAGTACACGCTCTGCACCCAGCTGTCACAGCACATCATCGAGATATGGATCCATTATTTATACATCAAATATATGCATGAGAGTAGCTTTGAACAGAAAACAGGATCCCAGATGCAGAACTGACATCAATGTCATGTCTTTCCCAGTCTTACTAACGCGGGGCTGGCATGGGGCAGACATGTGCCCCGAAGACTTAAACTGATGGGCAAAGTCAGACTTCAGGAAGCACCTCTCAGGTCTCTTTGTTCAGCTAAAGCATGATCTCATTTAAGATTCTTAAAACTTTGAGACCTTTTTCCATAGTTCTTCTAAGTCTGGGAGATAGTCCGCTCTTCTTAAGCTCAACTTCTACATCGGTGTAGCCTACACAACTGTAGCACTTACATTACATTCATGCTATACATTAGTCCGTTCAAACTGATCCATTCTCTGCCAATCAAGGTGAAAATGGTGAAATGTGAGGAAATACTCACAGTAATTGTGGGCATTAGCTGTACTGAGAGTGCAGGTCAGGTTATGGAGTAAGCTCTGCGTAAGGGTTTCAGGATATGGTAAATGGCCTGTATTTGTATAGTGCTTTACACTACACACAGTCATCCACCCAGTCACACACTGGTGATGGCAGCTACATTGTAGCCACAGCCACCCTGGGGCGCACTGACAGAGGCGAGGCTGCCGGACACTGGCGCCACCGGGCCCTCTGACCACCACCAGTAGGCAACGGGTGAAGTGTCTTGCCCAAGGACACAACGACCGAGACTGTCCAAGCCGGGGCTCGAACCGGCAACCTTCCGATTACAAGGCGAACTCTCAACTCTTGAGCCACGATCGCCACCAGGATACTTCGTAGACTCAACACAAAAGTACAAAGTATGACTGAGTGTTTCTGTAGGACTTAAGAACCATCAGACCATCAGTACGTTCACACCAAACACAAAGTTTTTCTTGTGAACTTCATGTTCCTCCTCTTCCCATCAGCTGGGCAATTTTTCTGTGTCCATCATGAATGATTATGTTCACACAAGCAAGAACCGGGTAAACCTGTTTTGCCTCTGGTGTGTTTTTCAGGGACTTTGGTTTTTAGTAGAGACGCACGACACCACGTTTTCATGTCCGATACCGATATCATAAATCTGGATATCTGCCGATACCGATATGAATCCGATATAGTGTGTTTTTAATATCTTGCTGCATTTTGTATAAGTTCATACTCAAGTTTTAAAAAACAAAACATTAAAGCTATTCTGTTATACCTGTATGTAAAAAAATACACTGCACCCAAAATATTTCATAGTTCAGCAAAACTCATCATTTAATAAACTTAAACCTACACCATCCTCCCTATTCTGGTATTTTAAAGAGTACAAAATATTAAGCCTAAATATTTAACCTAACTAATAGGGTCGCCCACTCGCAGCAAGAAAAAAAACATAGGGAACCACCCCCCACCCTCCGCCTCGTGATGCTTAATCAACATAATCTACTTTAATTTAATGCATGTCTAAAAAAAAAAAAAAAAAGAGAAAAAAAAATGCACAGAAATCAATTATTTTTCCATCAATTCAACATCTTACTTCAACAGAACTGCAGACTGCACAAAAAGTACCACAGCTTAGTATTGGACTTAATAGTTACTATATACAGTAATGTGCTTCTATACATTTTACATCAGATGAAAACTTTGGTTGTAAGATTCAGATAATTATTTATTAAAAGCTCGACATTTTAAATGAGAATAAGAAAGAAAAGTAT